AGGATGATTTCTGAAGGATCATGTGACACTGAAGACTAGAGTAATTGCTGCTGAAAATTCTGCTTTGCCATCACAGAAATTTTTTTTTATAATAATAATATTTTATATAATAATTGTTTTTTTTAATCAAACTTTTGAACTGTAGTTTTGTTTTAATTGTTTTATGCTTTAATATGTCATAAGGATGACAGTACATTTTTATTTGGCTATAATACCATTAAACATATCACCTTAATACCATTAAAAATGCACCTAAAAAAAGTCTGGGGTGGCAAATTTTGCCTGTTAATCAAAAAGTTACTTTTCTTTTCTTTTCTCTGCATAAAACCAAAAATCACAGACCCGGAACGGAGCTCATTTCATATACCTTTTTTTTCTGTTTTCCAGATCAATACTCTGGCTCAGGTCTTGGCTTGAGAAGTGATCAATGGTGAACTGTTAGAATGACGAATGAAAAGCACATCAGCACTATCCCCTTCACAGCAGGAAGAACCGATGTGGGGACAGAGATGTAATAATGTCCTATTAACAACCACAAGGAAGGCACCTCTATATACTTTCAGGATGACAAGGTGGTGCTCAAAGTGGTGAAACTTCTTTTAGTACATGATTCTGCTGACGTCCGAGTGACCCGGCATTATTTCAGGGTCGAGGCTCCCGAGCCATTCTCGGTTTACGCACTTCTGCTCAGTGAATCTTGTGCAGCGGTGAAATCGATGCACCTGTCGATATCATGCATCATAACATGGGCCGATATGCATAATATGAGCAAGCACAAACCTATGATGATTCAGCAGGTGTTCGCACACAGCCCTCCCATACATCACATACATCAGAGTATCAGTATTTACAAGTAAAGCAGCTTAAGCATGGAGTTGACAGCGACGGTGAAATGTGCTATAGACTGTAGCACGCAGGGCTTCCTCCAAGAGGACTGGGTGGGAGAGGAGGGCCCATAAAAAATGCATGAGCAACAGGAGGAGATGTCACATCGGATATGTTTCAAGCTACAGAGATACTGGTGTGTGGAGAGCTGTGAGAGTGAAAGGTACAAGTGAACTCAGGTCTAAGAAGACAGAAGTGAGGGGGGAAAAGCACTTAACTTCCACCACTAAACCTGCCAAGACCATTGCCGCGCTGTGCCAGCAATAACAGAGATTTAGACATTAATCCATTGATGCACAAGAGACTTAATGGCTTATGTATGGCTTGATGCGTAAATATCCACAATCACTACAAAAAAATAGTATTTATTCAGCCTGTATATAGAGTCTGTCATCACACTTACTGCCCCAGTGATTTATATTCAGTCTGAGACACAGATCTGTTTCATTATAAACGCATTTACAACAATGGGGTTTTGAAAGCACGGCATACCACTGCCTTAGTCTACAAATTCAGAAAGATATCTCATCAAATATTCATTAATTCTGGAGTACAATCATGCTTTAAATGTCATGCTTAGCAGGGGAGATGGGCACCGCTTAGGCAAGAGGATTTATAACATGGCACTTATAAGTGGATATCATTATAACTGGGTTTGATGTCTTTAAACAGTGACTGACAATAAAAACAAACATATGTGGGCATCAAACAGAAATAAACAGTGGGTTTGTAGTTTTAAATAAAGCAGAATAATTGGTTATAGGCCTGTTTTTAAGAATTGAGTTGAATTGGAAAAACGTGCCTGTGGCGACATTTCTGCAAAGTGATGTTAAATTGATTCTTCTTTTGTGACACTTTCACAGAAAAATATCCAGTGGTTGCACTAAAAGCACGTTCGGTTTTAGCCTAAACAGATGAACGTGAATCTGGATATACTTCATTGTTTATTTTTGTACATATC